GACCTGGTTTCCTCACAGATTTCCAGCAAACTATTTCCAAAGGACTTCAACTTGTGATCCTCCTGCCTCAGCCTCTCAGAGTGCTGAGATTTCAGACATGCACCACTGAAGCTAAATTTACAAATGAATTAAAATTAGTAAAATTGCTGCATAAAAAGAAATATTCCAACTATCCTGCCTCTTTGACTATCTCTTTTGTGATTTTAAAGAGGACGGAACAATTTTAAAGGCAGCTTCTAGACCACCTATGTGTGTATGCTTCCTAACCCACTGCATACCTTGAATGTAGGGACAGTGTCTTATCTATCTTGGTGTTCCCCAAAGTACCAATGGCAGTGCCTACTAAACTGTAGGGCTTAATAAATAAATCGTTAATTACCCACTTAATTTTAAAATTGTCCCCATTCATTTCCCTCTCTAAAATTTATAAACTACCACCTTAACCCTTGTAAATTAGGTAAATAACAATAAACTTTCATGAATTTGCAGTCACTCCTGTGGGACCTTGAGGCTTTCTTCTTCAGCTGGCCTAAGTCTGTGTCCCTCCCATCAGGGGTTGTGGGACAGTCACACTTGCCCTATGCTTGGGCACAAAGGTCTTCCCTCGGGTTTGGAAGCAGAGCTCTTAATTTGACATTCACAGGTTTGTAAATGTGTGTACTGCTGGCTACCCCTGCAGAGATGCCCAGAACCATAGCTGAAGGAAGATTGTCTGGTGAGAGGATCAGGGCACTCAGATGTTGTCAAGACTCTGCCTCCACCCTGGTGGCGATGGCAGCCAGATTTGTGAAGAGAACTTAGGCTGGGTGCAGCCACTCACTGTCTGGACTGCAGTGTCCTTTCCAGCTATAGATATTGGCAACGGTAAATTGTCTTTGCCTTTCCTGCCAGTATTCAAAGAGTTTAATTTAAAACAAGAGTTTCCTGAGATTTCAACTGGACCGATTAAATGTACTACACAGATGCCCAAGTCTTAAAAAAAAAAAAAAAAATCCTGGGCTTGTCTGTATGGCCGTGGCCGAAGCAAATGACTCTGTATTCTGGGATAAAATTATAGATGAGCCACGATCTCCTGCACTCCAGATTCATTTACACAGGATTAGGTGCTATAGGTACCATTTAAGTGAATAGGGTGCTAATCTATTTCTTCCATCTAGATCACACCCATCAGACTTGTACAGCCAATGATGTGGGAGAAATTCTCCACCTGGATGACTAAGTTACTCCAGATGAATCATGCTCAAAGCCAAATTTAACATTTCCACAAAAGATTCTCCCATGTTTTCTCTCTCACTGGTATGTCATCTACCCAGTCATTGAAATTGGGAGCCGAGAAGGCAGTCTTATTTATTTATTTATTCATTTTATTTTATTTTTTTTACTTCACCTTCAACACTCAGTTACTGAGGCCGTACGTTTTTGAAATCTTGCTTGTCCCTGTCTGATTGGATGCTTGAACCGTTGGTTACATGACATGCAGCAAATGCCTCCACTTAGCCCCTGGTTTGACCCACCAAAAACTCAGGTCTTAACTTGTTCTTACTCCCCTGTAGTTCCTCCAGATTTATAAAGTGGAGTCAAAAGCTTCTTCATTGGGTCCCCAGGCCCCTCACGTGTACAGGATCGGCTTATATCTTCAGTCTTGCCTCTCTCCATTTCCTTTTGCACTGCATACATCTGTCACCACAAATCGTTCATCGCTTTTCCTTTGGTATTTGTCTGGAGGAAACCAGCTATTTTCAAAAAGGTTTTTTCTTCTTGAGACTTCTGTTGTTTTTGCTGCTGGCAATCTCAGCTTGCAGACTTCTCTAACACTACGTAGTTCCAAATATATTGGAAGTGAAAGAAAACCCAAGAAATACACCGCTGCTGCTCCAGACAACCTGGAGTTCTGGGCTTCAAGGCAGTCCACTTTTCTGGTCCTGATATTCAACTTTCTTGTTATTGTTGTTATGTCTTAGAGCTTATAGTTATGAGAAAAAAGACTAGTGAGAAATAAGGCTATTCAGGCTTGGCCAGAACAAGCGTCTATCAACTTTAGCTTTAATGAGAGAATTTTTTTTAAAAAAGGCTGATTGAGAAGTACCTAGAAATATTTAGGGACAAAACCAGTTGGACATTTTGAAGGATGTATATTTCTCTGCTTTATAGCATCTTAAAGAGGGAGCTCCTCAGGAGAGCCCTGCTCTGGGCTTCTTTAAGTGTCATAATACTGAAGAGTTATTCTGTATCACCTCCTAGGAAAGTATTTCGAATGTGGGTATTTCGAATAAAAACTTATACAACTGATCACCATCTTATTTTCATTTTTTAATTTTTATTTTTATTAGTGCATGTTTGCAGTATATACTAATTATATTCATTGTAGAGAGTTGGTGTGTGTGTGTAACACATCCTAATTCTGTTTTTCATTCCCTTCATTTGCCTTGCTTCCCTCTCTTGTTATCTTCCTCTTTAAGCTTATTCTTTCCCTGTGTTTCCTCAAAAAGTCCAAGTTCCGTTTGCAGCGTTTCTTTCTCTCATCTTACACTGGCCTTTCACCTACTTCGTCACTTCTACTGTCTCGGATCCTTGCCTGGGCTCTCTTCTTTCCGAGGGGCAGTGGGTACCAGCAGACCCTGGATCGGCCCCATGAGGAATGGGCCCTGGATATCTGGACAGCAAACCTCTCAATGCTCAGTGTGCTCAGAAACTGAGCAATGTCTTAGGAAGAGTCTGTGGAGAAGCAGACAACGGGAATAAATCAATTCGTATGTATAAGGCTAATTCCAGAGACCAGTGTCAAAGCAACCAGTCTCATCTTTACCCAAGTCTAAAAGTATTATGACATCCCTGACATGCTCTGTTTACTCTTCCTGTGGAAGAAAGGAAAGGAAGAAAAAACAAAAACCTGCAAAGAGATTTCAGATGAAGTCCTAAGACAGGAACAACCATCCTTGTCCTGCCACTAATCATCAAATGACAACTTTGGGGTTTGGGGAAACAGTATGAACTGCCTTTAATTGAACATGAAAATAAAAAGCTGTAAGCTGGGATTAAAACATTCTAGAATATAAAGGCATAATTAGAGTTTCCCTATTTAAACTTTAATACGGACTGTATAGGATCATTGATACCCTTATTTTAGCCCAAATCATAGGACAGAGTGGTTTGTTGGGAAGAATGATAATAGGAGGAATTAGCCAATAATTTTCTTAGAGATGACTTAGTCATTGTATTCATTACTTTTCTTATAGCTGAGATAAAATACCAGACACCCAAAGTTAAAGGAGGAAAGGTTTATTTCAGCTCACAGTTTGTAGAGCTTCTTATCCAAAGTTGACTGGCTCCAAGGCAGAGTGGCAGGCGGAGGAGCATCACAGGAGAAACTGTTCATGATGCAGCAGGAATAAGGCATAGCGGTGAAGCAGCAGAAGCAGGCGTGCTGTCCTTGTTTCCCTTTATACTCCAGCCAGGCTGTAAGTTTATTAACTGGTACTACCCAAGCTCAGGATAGGGTTTTCATCATCTACATCGCAAAGTACGCTAAACCCATTTGGTTATGACACACCTTTAATCTTAGTGTTCCACACCCTAGATCCAGCCACCATTTAAAAGTCCCACCTATGAACACATGAGGTTTGGGGGAGACATTTAGATACAACCCATAACGGTCATTCATGTCTAGACAAAGACTGCTAAATTTGGATCTGACTTTTTAGCAAAGGACCTGAGAGTTTTAAGGTGGAGAATCCTGAGATATATTGAATTAAAGTGGAATACAGTTGTCCAACTATTTACCCTTGAATCTCAAACTGGAGTTAACGAAGTAGGTAATCATGCTTCTGTGAATTCATGGATTTTGCTTCTAATAGGATATTCCCTTCAGTGTTCTCCACCTGCCCTGGTATTTATTAAGTGTGTGTCTTGTCTTCTAGACCTCTTCCTCCCCACATTGTCAGAATGTAATAATGAAAATGCTCATTCATGAGTCCTGATTCCTCCTCTTTGTGCTTTGTACAGTTGTGGTAGGCACGTACTGCAAAGAAAGATCTCTTGTCTGAATATTTTTATAGGGTGAATTCGACAAAGACTCCAGGCCTAACAATACAGGTGAGCTCATGAAGAAAAGTACAAAATAGGAAAAAAGACCAAGACCTCCTAGAGATGGTAGAGAATGCCCCAGACAGAAATGGATGCACTGGATCTTAGTGACAGAAACAGAAGCCTCTGCAGATGTAGCTGGATTCAACTACAAGCTTCTAAGACTAAATAATGGGAATATTGTTTTTATTAACTTGCAACAGAACAGGTCTATAAGAAAGGAAATCACACTTTTATAGTAAGTTAAACATGGGGAAATATCCTTAAAAGAATTGAGATCACAGAGATGAAGAGGTGTCTAGGAGAAGGGAGTATTCTCTAAGACAAAAGTTCTCTAAAAGAGTAGTGATTCTAAGAGAAAAACTTTCTGCATGATCCTGTGGTGGCAGTCTACACAGCAGAGAAGATGATATCTTTGCTCTGCTAACCCTGACTGGAGCAAAGTCTCCTTTGCAAGGATGGTGTTACACTCTTCAGAGCACTGCAGACAGCGTGACCGCCATCTTTCTATGTCTTTGGGAAAAAGATCCCCATAGGGCTTGTGGAAATGCAGCCTGGATGATCCTGTGGAATTCCTATACAAATGTTATTTAAAATAGCACAAACTATTAAAGAGTAAGAAAGAAGTAACAGACGAAGGTCAATATTATGCATTTGTAAATAGACACATTAGATTACAATGTAGGAAAAACATAAATACACTCAAGAAACAAAAACATTGAGCTCAGCTCTAGGGATAAATAACCTAGTTCCTTCTGAGGTGGCATGAAGCTTATTGGATCAAGAAGGAATACATAGGAGGCCTTCACTGCATTTGAAGGATTTTATTAAGCCAAATGGGAAGTCTATGGATGGTTATTACACTATTATCTATAGGCTTGAAATGAAATTTTCTTTTCAACATTTGAATTTAGTTCTCAATTAAATGGCTTTATTGATAGAATTCACATACACAAAATTCACCCATTTACAATTCAATGATTTTAAAACATATTCAGAGTTGTCCAACCATAACCACAATCCAATTTCAGAACATTTTCTTCAGCTACAAAGAAGCTCCAAAGCCATAACCAGTCAATCTCTGTGCCTCCCCTTCAGCACTAACCCACTGTCCGTCTCTGCAGATATGTCTGTTCTGGACAATTCACACAAGCAGAATCATATAGTATGTGATTTTTTGTGGCTGACTCCTTTCACACAGTATATTTTCAAAGTTTATCCATGTTGCAGCATCGCTGCTTAATTCTTCATGGTTGAATAATTTTTTATTTACATAATAAACTACATTTGTTTGTCCATCTGTCAGGTGATGGACATTCAGATTCTTTCCACATTTTTACTATTATGAATTCTGCTGCTATGAACATTCATGTACAGGTTTGTGCATGGACATATATTTTACTTCTCTAGTATATTTATCTGTAGATAAAACTGCTGGGTCCTATGGTAACTCCACTTCTAAAATTTTAAGAAACTGCCAGATGTTTTTCCAGAGTGGTTTGCACCACTTCACATTCTCACCAATGATGTCTGAGGTGTAGAATTTCTCCAACACTCACTAGCGTTTCCAACTTTTATTCCCTTGGTACAGGAGTTAAATCCAGAGACTTCACACTGAGCTATATCCCCAGTCACTTTTAAATTGTAAAATAGGGTTTTGCTAAGTTGCCCAGGCTGGACTCAAACTTGAGATCCACCTGCCTCAGCCTCTCAGAGTGCTGGGATTACCATCCTTGGGTTTCACTGTCTTTTTCGTCAGCCACTCGCGTTTTTTGGTGTCATATCTCAGAAACTACTGCCTAAGCTAAGATTACAGATCCTAACTTTTTTCATTTAGAAAACTTAAAGTCTAACATTTGGCTCTATTTCCAGATAGTTTTTGTATATAATGTGAATTAAGGATCTAAGCTCTTTCTTTTAAAGGAAATATGGGAGGACAGGACTAGTGTTTCAGTGCTTGTGAGTAACAGGCCTGTGAACAGATAAAAGGCTCATTGGACACAGAACAAAACGTTTCCCATGGCCCATTCCATACAAGTGTGCTGTTTGTGAGACATGCAGTGATTGCCAGTTGGCTCCCACAAAGGGACGCCAGCACCTTCTAGAAGTGTACTACATAAGGCAGAGAAAACAGTGGAGACAGAACACTTTCTTATCATTTTCAAAAAAAACAGAAAGATCTGAGACAGTGAAGTCCTGTCCACCACCCTACACTAGCCAAAGAAGCCTTCTGCTGAGCCTAGATTCTGCAGGTGGGGCAGAGACAACAAATGTCTGGGCAGATAGACAGTGAACAGGACCTGGAGCAGTGGTCTTTTGGCCATGTTTTAGGCAAGGAAAGCCTGTGGAGGGAAGACACAGAGAAGTCAACAGTATTTTACCTCCCACCCCAAATCAATTAGCACAATTAGATCTATAGAGCCCTTCACACCTAGAGCACAGCTTGCAAGCAGAATATGTGTACTGCTTAACTGCTTGTAATCAGGCTGTGATGCCAGTGCAGAGTAAGCACAAAGGGAAATTCTGGCTTAACGCTATAACAACTGTTTGAAGGGTTTTATTTTTATTTCTACTTTTATTTTGATTCGTGTATTGTTCCCTTGCTTATTTGTTCGATTTGGGCTCATCTTGGTTTTTTGTTGTTGTTGTTGTTTTCATTTTTTTCTTCCTGTTTTGCTTTTCTCCCCATTCTTTTACATATATGCACCAACTCCTGACAAGGAACATAATCATTATGTACTGCAATCATGTACCAATAAAAAATAAAAATTAACAAAAACAGTTTTCAAAAGTTTTCAGAGAAAAGTGAAAAGTCCGTTAAAAAGGCAAATCATTAGGATTACAGTGGACTTTTTGACAAAAAAAAAAAAAAACTTTAAAGGCTAAGAGATCTCAGAGTAAAGTGTTTCAATCCCTAAAAGAGAGCAGCTTCCAACTCAGACTAATATATACTGCAAAACTATCACTCAGAATGAATGGAGAAATAAGGATATTCCACAACAAAGAACACCTTTAGACATTAATGGATACCAAAGCAGCACTTCAAAAGGTAATCAAGACAATGCTAGAGACACATGGAAGCCAATAAAGCAGAGTCAGATGAGATGCTCACATCAATCAAGGTAAGAGTTAAAAAAGGAAAAATAAAGGAGTCAACAACAGAAAAAAAAGAATGATATGAAAGAACCAAGTCATTCCCTTCATTAATAAATCTCAATGTAAAGGGCCTCAGCTCTCCAAATAAAAGAAACATAGGCAGACTGGATCAAAAAACAAAATTTGATGATTTTATGCATTTAAAACACTCATCTAATTCAAAAAAAATTTACAGACTAAAAATGAAAGAATGAAAAATAATATTCCATGCATCAGGACCTTGAAAGCAAATATGGATAGTGATTTTATTCTCAGACACAGTAAATGTCAAACTAAAACTGATCGGAAGGGACAAAGAAGATCATTACATATTAGGGTAAAAATTCAATAGCACAAGATAACAATCATAAACATACATGTACCAAATATTGGTACAGCTAGCTTCATTAAACAAACACTTCTAGTGGGCCAGGGGTTTAGCTCAGCAGTTTAAATACCTGCCTGGCAAGCACAAGGTCATGAGTTGGGTCCCCTGGCATCAAAAAAACAAAGAAACGCTACTAGAGATAGACAATCAAATCAACACCGACATGATCATTGCAGGTGACCTCAGTACTCCACTTTCACAAATAGATCAACTAAATTTAAAAAAACTAATATCAGAATATCTAATAAAATTAGATTTAATAGATATTCACAGTGTTCTAACCTATTACAACCAAACAGGCATTTTTCTCAGCAGCACATAGAACTTCTCTAAAATAGACCATGTACTAGTCCATAAAGTCTGCTTAAATTAATAAAAAACAATCAAAATCATCCCGTGTGGACTACAAGATCATTGTACATTCAAATTAGAAATCAATTACAAAAGAAATCACAGAAATTTTACAAATACCTGGGCATTAAATACCACATTCCTGAACCCTCAATGAGTCACAGAAGAAAAATTAAACAATTCCTGTAATCAAATAATAATGCCAGTAAAATGTACTAATACCTATGGAACACAATAAAAGCAGACCTAAGAGTGAAGTTTATTGCTATGAATGCTCACGTTAGAAAAACAGAATAAGCTTAAATAAATTGCAATTCAAGATACTAGAAAAACAAGGCCAGTCTAAAGTCAGTATGGAGAGAAATCATAAAGATGAGAACAGAAATTAATAAAATTGATAAAAAATACAAAAATAAATCAATAAATTGAAGAGCTGGTTCTCTTAAAGAATAAATAAAATAGACAAATCCTTCACCAAACTTACCAAAGAAATAAAGATTCACATTTATGCAATTAGAAGTGAAGAAGGTAAAATCACAGCAGAAATCAGTGAAAGGCAGAAGACCTTTCACAATTAATGTGAAAAATTATACTCCAAAAATTGTAGCATCTTGAGAAAAGAAAGATTCCTAGACATATGCAAACTAACAAAACTTAAATAAGAAAATAAAACAACTCTGAATAATCCAAGAACAGGCAGTGAAAATGAAGCAGTAATAAAAAAACTTACTAAGAAAAGATCAGGACCTGATGGATTCACCACTGTATTCCAGAAGACCTTTAGGAAGAATAGAACGCCCAAATGCCTTAAGTTTTACAATAAAATGGAAGGGGTTCCAAAACCAGATAAGGACCCAGCTAAAAATTAGAACTACAGGTCAGCCTCTTTAATGAATACACAAGCAAAAATCCTCAACAAGACACCAGAAACAGAATGCAATAAGTTATCCAAAAGAACATATAGCATAGCCAAGTAGGTTTCATTTCATTGATACAAGGATGGTTCAACATACAGAAATCAAGGAATATAATAACCACATAAATAAAAGCAAAGACAAGACTCACGTGATCACATCACTAGACGCAAAAAACACTTTTGACAAAATCTAACATCTGTTTATCATAAAACCATGAAGAAAATAAGTATAAAAGTACCTTATCTCAATCTGATAAAAACCACTTATGACAAACTAATGGCCAACATTAATCTTAAATGGGGACAAACTGAAAGTTTTACATCTAAAATTGGCAACAAGTTCAGGATATCCACTGTCACCACTCTTGGTCAATATAGTACTCAATTCATTATCCAGAACAATCAGGCAAGAGAAAAAGATAAAGGGGATGTGTACAAAAAGGAAGTAGTCAAATTATCATTATTTGAAGATGATATGATGCTTTAGATATAAAATTTTTAAAAGCCAACAAGACTCTTGAAATTAATAATCAAATTGAATAATGTAGCAGGATCCAAAATCAACACACAAAAATCAGTAGCATTCCTGTACATTAATAATAAACTCCTGAGAAAATAATTAAGGCAACAATATCTTTCACAGTGGCATCAAGAAATATTAAATAGTTAGGAATTAAGCCAACCAATGAAGTAAAAGTCTTCCACAACAAAAATTACACTGCTCTGAAAAAGGAGATAAAATAGGACCTCAGAAGATGGAATGATATGTCAGGTTCCTGGATAAGCAGAATCAACATTGTCAAAATGGCCATATTTCCAAACTGATACATAGATTTAATCCAATCTCAATTAAAATACCAACAGTGTTCCCACTAGAGAAACTAGAGAAAACAACCTTAAGTTCATATGAAACCAGAAAGACACAATAGCAAAAGCAATTCTGGGTAACAAGGACAAAGCAGGAGGCATCACAATCGCAGATTTCAAGTGACATTACAAAGCCTCAGTGATGGAAACAGCACGGTATTGGGACAAAAACAGATGTAAAGATCAGTGGAGCAGGACAAAGGACACAGAAAGAAACTCAAATATATTTTGTCACCTGATCTTTGACAAAGAGACCCAAAATACATGCTAAAGGAAAGGTATTCTCTTTAGCAAATGGTGCTTGGAAAACGGCTATAAGCATACAGAAGAAGGAATCTAGACATATATCTCACTTTGTACTAAAATAAAATCAAAATGAATCAGAGATCTAAATATTAGAAATAATATGCTGAAAGATAGAATAGATAAAACTCTTGAAGGCATAGGCATAGGCAAGAACTTCCTGAACAAAACCCCAATTGCACAAGAAATAATTTAAGAGTCAGCAAGTGGGATTGTGTCAAATTTAAAAGCTTTTGTACAACAAAGAAAACCACTAATGGAGAGAAGAGACGGCCTACAGAATGGGAAAAAATTTTGCCAACTACTTTTTGGACAGAGGATCATATCTAGAATATATAAATAACTGAAAAAAATTATCCCCTCCCCCAAATACAAGATTCAATCAAAAAATAAACAACTGAAATGAACAGACACTTCTCAAAAGAACTAAAAATGACAAATAAATACATGAAAAAATAGGATTGCCAATGATTGGAGAACTGCAAAATACAAGAACACTTGAGATTTCAACTTACTCCAGAAAGAACAGCATCATCAAGAAATCAAGTAACAACAAATGTTGGTGAGGCTGTGGGGTAAAGAAATCCTTCTACACTCCTGTGGGAATGTAAGTTAGTACAACCACGGCAATCAGTATGGATATTTCTCAAAAAACTGAAAATAAATACTCCGTTTCACTCAGTTATTCCCTTCCTGTAAATCTTCCAAAAGAGTTAAAGACATCACATTACAGTGATATATACATACCTCTGTTTATGGAAGTTGATTTAAGATAGCTAATTCTTAGAAATAGCCCATCTGTCCATCAGCAGATGAATGTTGAAGAAAATATGCTCTTTAAATACACAATGGAGCACTACTCTGCAATAAAGCATGATAAACTTAAATCATTTATAGGAAAAAATGAATGTACCTTGAAACCACAATGTTAAATGAAATAAATTTAACACAAAAGCCTAAATATCACATCATTTCTCTTATATGAGAAATCAAAATTATAAAGAAATTAAATAACAAAATAAAAGAGATAACAGAAAATAAGGAGATGTTTCACAAAAGGGCAGGGGAACAAGAGATGGAGGCACAGAAGGAAAAGAATAAGAACACAAAAAGAATGAAATACAGTGCACCAACTCCTCTAATGAATGTAATCATTGTTTAGCAAACACATACTACCAAAAGTTTTAAACTTAAGTAAAAATATAAATACCTCAGCTCCATTAGTTGAAAACACTATTCTCTCCCTATCACAATCATGCTTTGCAAAGAAAGTTTTCTATTTCCACTGAAACTTTTATTTGTAAGGACATGGTCCTGCTGGAATACTGTGAGAACAGCTCCATAACCTCCTTTTAATTTGATCATTAGCAAAGATTCTATTTCCATATAAGGTCACAGGGGCTGGGATACATCTTTTCAAAAAGGAGCACACTCTAACTCATAACAGTCAATGAGTACGTCTTATAGAAATACAGTACTATGGGGTTTTAAAGGGATGTGCTACCAGAATTACAGGATGAGACCACAGCTATATGAATGGAAGTGGAGACTCCAGTAAAGAAAATAGATTCTACCTGATAAGTCACCTTTAAAAGTAAGAGATGGGAACAGACAATGGGGGAGATGGGCCTGAATTGGCCTACAATTGAGCGTTCACTTGAACCTGGACTCTAAAGACGTGAGGCACGTGTGAGGTGCTTCAAGGTGGTCATGAAAGCCTGATATTTTCCTTAACAGGGGAGAAGGGACTCTAAGTAAAAGATCATCCTCTAGAGGACAGAAGAACAGACTAGGAACCAGCGATTTGAAAGCAGTCATATCTACTAGCCAGTTGTAAGTTACACCCTTTGCAATTCTAGCTTTGTGTAGTCTTGCCAAACACACAGCCCAGTCTAACATTACAGGTAGGTTCTAGTTTCATGTTTGGACTGTTGCACTACCGAGAGGCAGAGAAAAGAGACAGGCATTCTGCCCATGTGTACAAGGACCGAATATTGAAGATGACAATTTATAATTGCAGCTGTTGACTCACTCACAATAGCTTGTGCTGACAGAGGCATCCTTGTGAGAAACCCTCAGAAAATTCCCCAAGTGTAGACTTTGGGTCTCACTGTTGATGTGACCTACTTTGTACCAACTTCCTGCTGAGATATGCAGGTTACTTTCAAGTATTGCTACTAACAGTCTAAATGACTAAATTGTTTTTCATTTTAGAAGCTATTATTTACCATTTAAAAGCTATATAAAGAAAGACATATTCATTAAGGAAAATTGATATGTTCAGGAAGAAATGCTAGCTCATTTTGTTATTTCCCATATTATCATGATTATAATACAGATACTTGGTAATAATCCTTGCTTGAACTCCTTAAAAATTAAAACAGCTGAGACTGGGGAACACACTTTGAAAATCATTGCCAGAAAGAACTTTGCCATCAAATGCATAGCATCCCCAGATTCATGGGGGCACCCGTGCCACACAAATCAGTCCACAGCCTATTCAGATGAGTTCATGCATAGCTACCTAAATCATTACAATTCCATTTGGGGACATTTCTTGCTATCTGAGAACTAACAGCTGAGCTCTTGGTCTTGTATTCTGATTGGACTGATTTGCCCCACACACTTCAGATGAGAAAACTCAGATTCTGCACTGGTATATCTGCATGGTCTTTCATATCTCAAGTCCAGTATTTACATACTTGTGGAAGTGATCAAGCAAATGATAATCAAAAACTCTGCTATACATGTTTTTATTATAAAATATTAGAATTTTTTGAATCAGAAAATGAAGTGTCAAGGAAAGGGACACTATGGTAGCTACTGTTATGTCAGATTGTCTTGTGGTGAAACACTATGTTGCTTAAATTGTTCTGTTCTGAACTGTTTTGTTATATCCTCTTTTATCTCAATTTTTTTAAGTAAAAAAGAAAAAGAAAATGAAATGGACATCTGCTACCACTACTTTTTTTAGTATTATAAATGAAGTTTGTAGCTAGCACAAAACAAAACAAAACATAAATAAATAAAACAAAGTTTAAGTATTTACTGAAAGCTAACCTTTGACGCCTGGAGCTGTAGGTCTCTTCTCTTGAGCAGATCGTATTCTGAGAGAAGAACATTCTGAACACATTCAAGAAGAACTAACAGGGTGGCGGTCCAGGGACTCTGTCAGGGCCACCAGTGCTCATTTTTCTAGCACTTATCAGAACCTTGAAATGTGTCTCTCATTCCCTAGCTCCACGATCCCCCTTCTCTTTGGCAGGTGAGGCAGTGGATCAGGGTCCTGTCAAACCCCTGTCACCACCTTCCACATGAGCGCTTCCCCCGCCCTCACAGTTCCAGGGAGTGTGGCACTGCTGGGCTTTTCAGTTTTTGAAGATTCTATAACATAAATTGTGATGCTCCCCTGATATCCTTGGCGTTGCTGAGGAGTAAAACAATCCAGGCTGTTGGGTAAGGGCACATTCAATGGAGAAGACATCTTCACAGCTCCTGGCACATGTGGAAAAACTTTGCCCCGCAAAGATAGAGGCAAGATTTTTCAAAGTGGCTTTACTGATTATAGAACCAATGAAGAAGAGATCCTGAATTTCCACGTCTTCTCCATACTCCGTATTTTGACCAGAGTGCCTTTAATTCTCAGTCCCTGAGTGCAGTTTATCATAGGTTAGCAGGAGTTACATAGGACAAAGCGAACAAAATAAAACATAGCTAGCTTTCATTCAAAACTCCAAAACTTTTTAATAGAAAAAATGAATACAGTGCACTAAAGTCTAAAACATGTAGATCCTTTGACAAATTAACCAAATTTCTAGAACTCTATCCTAGAGAAATACTCTCACAAATATGCAGAGAAAAAATGTACAAAGAATTATCCTGCAATTTTGTGGTTTTTGTGAGATCCAGAAAACAGTTTAAATGACCATCAGAAAGAAATAAATTTTAGTACGTCTGCTCTATGAAATACTGTGAAACATAAGATAGTTCTGTATGTAATGATATCAAAAACATTCCCAAGATACAGTATTAGGTAAAAGAATAATTATTTCAGATTTGGAGGGATTTACATAAAATCATTCAGTGTGGCTATAGGAAATGAGATGCACCAGTTATAGGTAACTTTCAGTTTTCAGTTTGTATACTTTAGTGTTGTTTGCTTTTTAAATAAATAACATATATTGTTTTGTGATAAATCTTTAAAATTTCTCTTATTTCTCATAAATCATGAATTTAGAAGTTTTTTAAAAAATTATGATCTTATTATGCCTTTACAAAGTAACTGAGACCAAGTTAATAAATGATACCATTTAATACCAATTAAATTAGACCATTTAATAAATGATAAGGTAGTTTTAAAATGATGAGCCAGTGTATACACAGAATAATACATATAAAAATGACAGTTTAGTATAGGCTAGTCTTCAATGAGCATTTATTTTCTTTAAACGCCTAACAACATAAAATGCCCTTCCTAAATGGTGAGATTTTATGTATCAAGTTTCTATCTCTTTGAATTTGATCACAAGAAAAGCATTTTGAGTGCTCTGCTGATTATCAATGTATTTTTCTGCTGTAGGTTACAGCTGATTTGTAAATGTTTGCTATTAAATGAATGTGGTGTTACAGTAACACTGGGTCTACTTTCTGACTTCATAGTATATGTTAATGTTCCAAATGAAGAGTAAGTGATTTTTTCCAACAGAATATCCATGCCAAGTCATCAGACCTATCTTCCAATAAGAAAACAAGTGCAACATCTACAGATATCTTGGTTATCTCCTTTAGCAAAAGAAGTTGGCACTTATGCACTGATATAAGTGGATTCTGCACATTTGAGGCCAATTCCTGAAACTAAGCTGTAAATGAAAAGTGAGAAAACTTTATTGGCTTCGGCAAAGAACAAATTCCTTGAGATGATTTCTTTCCCACAAGAGTCATTGAGCAATGTCCTCTTGCCAAACAGGTGTAAGCTAAGCAGGAGTCATTGCCCTAGGAAAGATGAACACAGTTCCTTTGGTATTTCTTGTTATTTTAAATATCTGCCTGAAATCTTGGAAGCCAACCACCCTGAGAAATATGGACAGCAATCCTCCAACCGAGGCTGGCAATAGCTGATGTACCCATCACTTTTTAGGTAGTGTTGACTGTCACTCAAGAAATTATAATCTAGAAGACTCCATGTTGGATCTCACTATGATTTTATAATGACCTGGATTTGTCAGAGAAAGATGAATATAGAATTTTTCAAGGCAAAATTCAACTACAACACATAGCAGTGAAAAGTAACTGAACTGGATGATCAAATTGACCAGGCTTCATTTCTGTGACTGTTAAACTTAAATGTTAGCTCGTCTGGAGTCAGAAAATCCTAGGAAAGTAATTGAATGAAAGGGCACTGCGCTCACCTGTCCCTTAACCCACTGATGTTCAAAGCTCAGTGTGCTGTGCTGAGCTGGAGGCCCGGCCGGAGGTGGAGTCTGCCTCTGGAGGATGTGTCTCTTGCTGGAATTGTCTCCTTGTTCTGATTCTCAATTACCACAAAGTAGCTTTGCTCCTCCACACCCTTCTGCAATGATGTCCCTGCCTTGGAGCTGGGTGTGTCCACACATGTGTTTATAATTCATCCTGTGCGGTACTCATGGGGTTTCCAAATCTGAAGAGTCCTGTACTTCTTCCATTCTAGACATTTTTCATCTGTTTTAACTCTGGACACACATCTCTTTAACTCTGTTACTTTCTGTACATATGTATCTCCTCACTTCATCTTCCCTTTCTCTTCACTTACTTGCCATATTTTCCATCTTTTTTGTCTCTCTGTATGCCAGAACAATTACTTCATATCTCTCTTCTAGCTCATA